TTCCATCTCCCTCAGTGCACCCCACACATTATTTAAGAGTGAGATGTATGCCCAGGTCAGGCTTCTGCCTTAGGTGTGGGTTGTGGGCACAGTTCTGGTTTATGTACAGTGTCCAGCTTCTGCCTTAAGTGTGAGATGTGTGCACAGTTGGTCAGTCTCCCACTTCTACCTTAGGTGTGGTTGTCAGAACAGAGCGTGGGGTGCTGCTTTTCTCACTCTCCAACTTCAGTTTTTTCTTTCGAGTTGCGTGTGTGTGATGTTTCAGATAAGCGCCTTCCCTGCTTCTTGCCCAATGCTTAATCACTCAAGAGCCAGAAATGCCAACAAGCAAATAATGCTTTCCCTTTTGGTGTGATGAACGACCCTTGTTAGCATAGGAAACAACTAGTCTCTCTGCCTCCCTCCTTTGTCCTTCCTTCTTTCCTTCACATCTCCCTCTTTCCTACCCTTCCCCTATTCCTTCTTAACCCTCTCTTTCCCTCTTTCCTTCCTTCTTGCCTGCCCCTCCTTTTTCTTTTCTTCTCTATCTCCTTCCCCTCCTCCATTCCTGCATTTTCCTTTTTCCTCCCCTTCCTTCCTCCTCTTCCTCTCCTATTTTTTCTTCCTTTGCCTTTCCTTCTTTGCTTCTTTCCTCCTTTCATGTCTCCCTTCTTTCTGAAAACCTTGGCACCATAGTCATAGGGCAGGGCTGAGTCAGGTAGAGTTCCAGCCAGGACAGCATGTGGACAGAGAAGTGAGTGGCAGGAGCACCAGGTGATTTGGGTGTCACAGCTGGATCCAGAGAAGGACAAAAGAAAGCATGTGGAGAGCCCAGAGACAGCTTAATACGTGAAAGAAAACAAACAGACGTGCTAATGAGAACATGAGAAGTGGTTGCAGTGAGTCCTGCAGTCTTGGAGTAGCGTGATTGTCTGGGAGGACAAGGACATATCTACTGCTGCTCTGTCCACACAAAACAACAACAACAACACAAACCCCACGAGGGCACTAATACACATGTCGGTGACCAGCAGAGGACCCAGATGGCAGCCTCTACCCTCTACTGAGAAGGGGACCCATTCCAGTAATGACAGCTCCAGGGCTGGGAGCCTGAACATCTCTCTGAGATAGAGTGAAGAAGCACATGCCTAAAAATGAGGATTTGACAAGGACACAGCAGCCACATGGAAGGAGCTTCCCCAGCCCCAAATCAGCAGTGATATCATGAATGATAGCCAATTGAATAAAACAAAAATTAATGCACAAAGAACTATTTTTATCAGATCTGAGTGACAACTTAGACATGTGAGAAGTATGGTAGAATCAGAAAGTCCTTACATCTACCTGTGGAATACCATGGAATAAATTCACCCCCACCCCCAAAATGATGGACTGGAAAACCAGAAAGTTAGTTTGGAGGGAGAGGATCTGTATACATCTCCTCACAAGCTACTTATTAATTATGGTGGGGGAAGCAGACCGCGCAGAGAAGGCTGAGGGACTATACTTAGGCACACTGTCAACATCAGCATTTCCAGAGATGGGATAACAGGGAGCAGTGGCCACTGCTGGGATCCAGTGAGGACCACAGAGCATTAGATCCGGGATGCTCCTGCCAGACATGGCACATGGGTCTGTGGAGAAACATCTGACACTCCGAGCTAGAGGCTGTGTTCCAAAATGACCAGCCTGTGGACTTCAGAAGCGCCAAGTTCATGAAGGTCTATAAAACTGCTGTAGAGAAAGACAGAGAAACAGGACATATAAGTGTAAGCCATGATCATGGCTCAAACATTTTGATATAAAGAACAATTTGGAGCACAAGAGAGATGGTTCAGCAGTTAACAGTATTTGCTGCTCTTGCAGATGACCATAGTTTGGTTCCCAGCACCCACACTGGCTGGCTTACAACTGTCTGTTTTAGATCTAGGTGATTCAATAACCTCTTTTGGCCCCAGGTGCGTGTGTGTGTGCGCACACACACACACAGGCACACAGACACATTTTTTTTTAATTTACAGACAGTTATCAAAACAGAGTCTAAGACCCCAGGAATGATAAGGCACTCTTGTTCCCCGCTGCAAATGGCTGTCAGGGGCTGTGCTAGTGAGTGATCTGTGCTCAGGAAACACACAGGGATGGAGAGCTCCCTGCAGCTCCCTCTCTGCTGGCTCACAGGCAACTCTTTGTTCAGTTCTTGTACCTTTCCTGTTTGTTTAGAATCCTATTAAAATTAAAGAATGAGCTTAAGTTGCAACAATGATAATGTATTTTAAAATGGCTGGCCCCAAATCCATGCAGCTCTTGACCTAGAAACACAACTGCTAGAGCCGTATCCTACCGATGTAACCAGAAATGTCTGCAAAAATTGAGCTGTAAACTGTTTTAGAGAGGGTTATTTATTGGTTTAAAATGGGAGCTAACCTGAAAAAGACTATAATAGGATTTGGGAACATAAATTATGATCTAAGCATGAAATAGAATATTAATATGGCCATTATGGAAACTGAGAAAACCAGTTAATGGCTTGGAAAAACGTTTATGATCTGCATTGAGTAGAGAAGGCAGGTTAGAAAACAATATGCCTGTTTCATCTTGTTACTGAAACAAGAGCAAAACAAACATTGTGTGTATAATGGGGACAGGGACAGGGTGGGATTTTAGCCATATCCTTCACCACAAGAAAGCTTGGGGGCTTCCCTGTGGATGAACCATGAGCCTCCAGAGCTGGGGTGGCAACAGTACTCCCCAAATGTGTTTGATAAGTTCTTTTACTTTCATCTTGGACTTGTTCCTAAAAGTGCCCCAAACTCCTAGTGGCCTTTCCTATGATTCTAAGACATCCATCTTCTCTGCCTAGGCCTTTATCCTGATGGTGTTCCGTCTAAGTTACTCCACAGCATCTTTCAAACACAGACTATCATCCTGCAAGGCAAGCATTAGTAAAACCTGCAGGTCCTTAGAGACATCTCTGTTTCATGTGGACATTGCATTTCAGGCTGAGGCTCAAGTAAGATGGCCACTCCCAGAGAAATACCCACCCACCTTTAGACACAGCTTCTGTGTCTCAGAGTACAAGGACCATAAGTCCACTCTAATCAGAGAAGGGGTGTGGCATGGGCCCTTTGTGTCTCATGCAGCTCGGGAGGACACATATGGTTCTCAGGTTGTCAATCACAGCCACAAAGCACCACCAAAGTATCTCCAGAGCCCGGGGATGGGTGCTTTCACAGAACCTTTGCCTGAGTCCTCTGGAGCAAACCAATCCACACATCATTTGTAATGGGGGCTGACGTGGAGAAAGAGATGTCCCAGTGACTACAGAAGGCTTCAAAGGCATTGTGATAATGTCCACCCAAGGCTCCTCAGGAAGTGTGAAGGGAAGGTGTCTCCAGAAGCTAACAAGAAAAGGAGCTTGTTAATGACAGACTTCCTGTGTGTTCTGGGACCATAGAGGCTTTCCTTCCTCTTTCTAGATGGCAGTCAGAGCAGGGGAGGGCACCGTGACTCAAGGATTGAGAACATGGATGCCCCCATTAATCTCCCAACACTTCACTAGCTAGGGCTACAAAAATTTTTTTAAGAGGATTTCCTTTTCTGCGTTAATCACCAATTCTGGAAGAGGAAATGTGGGCAGAAGCCTTACCCCTAACCTTTGCTCCCTGAGATCATTCCTATGAATACATTATAGGACATCAAGGACTTTGCCGATCTGGTTAAGGCTACTAATTAGCTGACCCGAGAATAGGGAAACCACTTGCAGTTATGTGGGTGGGCCTGATTCTCATCCTATGAGTCCTTGTCAGCACTCTTTCCTTGACTGTTGGCAAAAGAAAAAGTGAGAGTGGAAGCATTAGGAGGATTTGATGGAACTGTTGGCTTGAAGAAGAAGAAGAAGAGGTCCATATATCAGGGATCTGGAGGCATTGGGTCCACAGCACAGAGAACCAATGAGTAGCCATATTGCTTTCGATTCTGGGAAGTACCCTGGGTGTCTGACCTACAGAATTGTGTTATGTATGTTTGGTTTTTTTTTTCCTGCAGTGAATGTACACTGCTCCTTTTCAATGAAAACACAGGATGGAGTAGAACAAGAATAGAATTTCAGCAGACATACCTGCCTCAGTATCACAACTATGGGAAGCAGATTTTCCTAACATCAAGAGTGGTGAAGCCTGAGAGGGCCGTAATCAGAGTTACATAAGGGCTACCTGAGATAAGAGGTCAGACTGCCAGTAGCCTCCTTGGGCTACATAGTCACTCCTCTCCAGGCATGGGCAGACTGAGCAGGTCAACAGACACCAATGTGCCATTTCATTAAACTGGCAAATCACAGAGCCCCCAGAGAATCACTTCCAGGACTGGCGCCTTAACTTTTCATTACAGAAAGCTTAGCATTACTGATGGGGCTAAACTTAATGTTGGTCACAATTCCAGATATCTGCAGTGGGCACACTCATAAAGAGGCAAGGTTCATTGGGAGATGGCTCAATGGGTAAAGTAGTTGCTGCACAAGAAGGCCAGAACTCATATGAATGCCTGGTCAGGAATATACCTGATGTCAACCCTAGGCCTCTATACACATATGCATAGACAAGAACACATGCACACAAAGGCATGTGTGCATACACAGAGGTTTGATTCTGATCATTATACCAAATACTAGTAGCTATAATGTTCATTTTTAAAGAGAAAAAAAATGTTACCTGGACTTGTGGCCTCCAAGCCCGACTCTTCTAGAATGAACAGTAAGGTAAAAAGACATCAGTTTTAATTGCCAGTACCTAGGGAGAGAGAAGACATAGTTACCGCTGGCAAGCATGTTAAAGAGCCTTCTAATTAATTCAATGTCCTTTCTTCCAGCCTGATGGGTTAAGGGGAAGTGACAGATGTCATGTGGGCTGGCTTCGTGGAGCTTTTGACTTTGTTCCACTTGATTTACTCATCAGATCCAAAGTAAACAGGCCTCTGCCCCTAGCCTGGAGGGGGGCTGGTGGAGCCAGTTCACTGGTTCAGAGAGCTGCAACTCCCTAGATGACATCTGAGAAAAACCAGGAGAGCAACACAGAACTTTCTGGGGAGGTGTGGACTGTGGTGGCATTCCCAAGACAAGCAGGCCACAGATCATCGGCAATCTGAGCATGGAAGCTGCCCTTGCATTGGGAGAGCTTCACCCAAGCCCTGGGTTTGGGTCAGAAGAGCCTTTGGACTTACGGTATGAATACTATAGGCCTAGGGTCAGGAAGGATGAATCTCAGGGACTTCAGTCTCTTCCTGTTTTGGCAGGTCCAGGGAGACACCGAAGCAGTAGAGTGAAGGCCTTGTATCTGCCTGTATCCAGGATTCCTTTCCCTGGGGTTTTGAGGTAAGTAGCACTATACGTAGTCCATGATTCAGGTGCTGACTAAGAAACTGCTGCATCACACTTCATGTCTCCTAATGCAGCAGCAGGCCTTGTACCAGTCTCCAGAGCCCAGGGAACATGTTTCCAAGGATACAAGACAGGTCCAGGCAGGCCCTAGGAGTGTGTCTCATCATCCTGTCCTTGTCAATCATTTTATCCACATCTTTTATATAGGGAGGTCTTGGGCCCTTTGTTGGATTAGCTGAGTTTTCTAGCATAGTCTGGATCTTGCCTGTGCAGAGAGTCCACAGCTAAGGAAATCAGTAAGGCAAAGCAAACAGAAGGTAATAGAGGATGGGGTTGCTACCTCCTGGGAAGGAAAAGAGTCCCATCTTTGTCTATGTCCAGCCAACTGTGGCTAAGTGAGAGAACTGCTCAGTGGTTCTGCCAAAATAGGAATGAAGATAAATTCAATTTGTATGTGAAATGGAACAGAGAGTACCTATTAACAACTCCTCTGGTCTGGGTAGCCCATACCTTAGTGTGAGTTAGTTCTACCCAGAATAGGCATTTTGTGATATCTATCCAAAGTGTGAAGTCCATGGGCCTCAGCCTTACTCACTTGGTCACCTGCAGGCATCAGGCTTAGAATGGCAGATCACTTAGTCTGTCTTAGATCTTATGGCTCCTGGGTCGATCCTAGAATTTGTCACTGAATGCAGAATGCATAGAGGACTACATAAAGGAAAGAAAAAAGATGAGGTGGCCAGAGACAAGCACAGAGAGAAACAACCACTCAACCCAAAGTCTCTTTAAACACACAAAGAGGAAAAGCAACCACTGGCTGAGGTTTAGATGGGCAGACCATGCTTTGCTTCTAACCTATAGTGTGCACAGTGTAAACACACACACACACACACAAACACAGAGAGAGAGAGACAGACAGACAGACAGAGACAGAGAGACAGAGACAGAGAGAGACAGAGAGAGAGAGAGACTGACTCCAGTCATCCCATTTCTCCGTGTTCTGTTTGTTCTTCTTCTATTCCTGTGTCAGTTACTTTTCCTTTATTGTGATAAAATACCATGACCAAAGAAAAGTAGAGAAGAGTTTCTTTGGGCTTGAGTCCAGAGAGATAAGGCTCCACTGTGTTAGGTATGGCAGCTGGACCAGCAAGCTGAGAGCTCAAACTGCAAACACGAAGCAGAAAGAACAAACTGGAAACAGGGAGAAGCTTCTGTTTTATCTCAAAGCCCAAAGCTAGCAACAATATACTTCCTCCAGCAAGGCTGCCTTACCTAATCTCCCCACCCCCAAACAGCACCCCCAATTGGAGACATTTCTCAACCTTTTTAAAAACTGGATGTCCTTAAAGTATATCCTATGATGTTTTGATAGAGTTTCAACAGTCAAGTGTATTAACATACTATCACCATATCTAAAGTCATCTTCCCATTTTCTGCTTTAGTCCCAACGGTGACTTTTTAAAAAACATAACATGTTTCTAATGTCCTTATCTCTAAGTAAGGCAATGCTATACACCATCCTGTGGCTATGGGTGACTTCACAACATAAATGCTCACAAGCAGATCTTAAACACAGGAAAAGCAGAAAAGTTATCCACAGAGGGACTGTTGTGTACCAGCCCCTTCCATCTTATTAAGATATAGGGTATAAATGATAAATGAAACAACACACAGTAGGATATTACAGATTATGATGTTTACAGGAAAGTAAGACAACAGGATGCTTTAAGGGAAAGTGAAACCCTCCATCCCACAGGAAAGAGCCTTAAGATAGGAATTAATCAACTCAAACAGCCTCAGGAAGTCCCTGAAACCCATCAGATTCTCAACTCGCCAGCCAATGCAAAGTAAACAGTAAAGACTGCTGAGAGTCACATTCAGACAAGCCAGCCTTCAAAAAGACTCCTAGGAGACAAAAAGCAAAATAAAACAACAAAATCAGCCAAACTACCTTAGAAGAAATTTATACTAACTAAGACACCCGTGAAGGACACCCTCCAACCTGTTGAGCTGCTTAGAGGGTGTACAGTGTGCTCTGGTATCCCAGCTTTTGTAATCTGCTACTTGTGTTGGTGTGATCTTTGTTGATGCTGCTGTCCCGGAGTCATTTCTGCTGCTGTGTACTCTGGCTTATCCACCTCTTCAGCACATCCCTCATCTGCTCATTAGATAGGCTCAGTGCCCGGCAAGATACTAGCAAGCCCGGAGGCCTTTAATTTAATATCCCTTCCTCAGGTGGCCTTCTCTGCCCCATGATTGCTTGACACATCATCGTTTTCTCAGAGCTCTTTCCACAAGTACAATCAATACCTGTAAGTGTGTGTCCCTTATGATGGTAAGCACCATGTGAGACTGGAATATATCCATCGCTTGTCAGTCACCCTGGAGCTGAGCTGGACGCAGAACCAGTCTATACAGCTTGAGGGGAAATGAATAACCGTTATCCAAATACTATCAAAACCTCTGTGCAGAGACATCAGCTAGACCCAGACACAGGCAGCATCAAAAGTGTATTGCCACCCTGTCCTTGGCCAGGCTGCAGCTAGGAAACCTCAGGAAACCTCAGGGTTTTTTAGAAAACCGATGCAACGTCAGAGTAAATCTACTCGGCTTTGTCGCCTGGACAAGGGACTGCCACTCTGTCCACTAAGTCTCAAGAGTCTGGTGGTATTCGCTTTCACACCATGCTAAGCCCCAGGTAGGTGCCTCCCTTAGCATTCCTGCTTCTGAGCTGGATGCTGAGTGAAGAGTCACAGGAGAAGCCCCAGATGTCACCCTTGGAGTCCACTCAGGAGCCAGCAACTATACGGATGAACCATAGTGCACCGGGCTCTTCTCTGGCCTCAGTCAGGCAAAACCTGAGAGAAAGAGTTTAACATTAACCTAGGGAACCTGTCAAAACACTGTTCAGCCTTAAGCATCTGTGATTTTAAGGTATCTTGGGCTCAGTATCCAGGACTCAGAGGAAGAGCAGGGGAGGGGCTAGAGGACACTAACAGCAGGGAAAGAACAGATGCTGGAATCAGACATAATGCAGCCCACTGAAGGAAAGGGTCTGAGAGATTTGCGAGTCCCCGTTGGGATTCGGTAGAAATAGGAGGGGAAATTATTTAATACCAGTATTTCCTAATCATAACTTCTTGCCCTTTTGAAACAAACCACGGGCCACTCTGCTGGAAAAGAAAGCTGATGGAGAGGTGGCCGTTCCACTTTAGATGACACTTCTGAGGCACATCCCCAAAGTCTTCTCTAAAGCTGGGCAGTTTTCCAAGAGGTAACCCCAGCATCTGCAGACCGAGCAGTAAAAACAGGAGAGGTCTCCAGCACAGAAAGCCAGAAAGCCAGCTGGGAATCCCTGTCAGTGGTCCTCAGGACAGACTAGCGAAAGTCTGGTGTATTTAGTACATCCGTATAGTGACTAGGGGCTCTCTTCTGGTCTCCTCTAATACCTGCACACACATGCACAGCCTCAAACATGCATGCATGCACGCACACATGCATCCACACACAATGCTTTTGACACTGAAAGAATGGGTTTACTATTGCTGTTACTCTCCTCAGTGTTCAGCCGACTTACTGAAAACACCCAAGAAAAGATAATCTTAAAAAGGGCTAAACAAACCAAAAAGCAGCTATGACGACATTCCTCCCAGACATACCCAGTATGCCAGCAAGGGCCCAGGCAGCTCACGCCATGAGCAACAGTAGGCTGACCTGTGCAGGTAACCAAGTCCTGACTTCAAGGTGAGTTCAAAAGGCCAAGAGGTCAATCCGAGAACCTACCCTTCCCCTGGGAGAACGGTTGCTTTTCAGAATTCCATGACATAATAAGGTTAGAAAATTCCATGCTGGGAGCATCTGAAACCAATTATGGACACGTTGCCAATTATTCAGGAGTTTTGATGTCCTATCCAAGACATTCCAGCAGAGTTCTGTAGGCACCAAGGGTCTGGCTGTGACATCTCTCGGCTTATCATGCACCAGGATCGGATAAAATAATCACATTGGTGATGAAGACTTCCAGCCTGTCAAACTATTTGGAGCTACAGTCACCCATCCCATGGGGAAACAGCTGCTGTGATCTTTCATACAACACACCCCACATATTGCAACAATGGTGGGTGCTCGTGAAGCTGTGAGTATGGAACCATGTGAACGCTAGGGCTTTCATATTTCACTTCACTGGGTAAGCCCTATGCAAGGTATAACACATGTCTGTTGACATTCCAAATCTGGTGGATCATAGAACTGGCCCATCAGGGGAAGCTGGTCTCACTTCCTGTTTCCTCCTTCCTGCTCTCAAATTTGGCTAGCCTGTTCTGTTCTCTTCCTCAGATACTCCAGGCTCACTCCTCTAGTCCCTTCCTCTGCCTGATGCTGCCTAAGGAACTGATTCTCTTGCTGTGTATTTGGAGGGAGGAGATCCTGCCTGGTTCCATTCTACTGTCTTTACAAGAACAAGATTAGAGCCCTTTCCTGGCTTCGTGGCTCAAGCAACATTTACACTGTTTGATATTTCTTGATCTGTGAAAATAACTTGGGGGAGCCCAACACATCTGGCTTGAATAAATGAACCTGGAAACAATATCACAGACAAACACAAAACATGAGATGTCTCCAGCTAAGGAACCAAGGTGCTCCAGAGAGATCTTGCAAGTATGACCACCCTTGTGGTGTCCGGGTAAGCTGGCTGCATCCTGCTTGCTGCATTCCATCCTGAGGTGTGAGCTATCACCACGGAGAAGCTGAGTTCTGCAGTCTGGAAAGGGCCTGTACTAGACACATAGACTTCCAGCCTTCCAGACGATTTTGTGGGAACTACGGTGTTGTGAGAATTCCTTCCTTGAGGAGACTCAAACAACATCAGTCCCTCCTCACAAATTCCCAATGACAAACTTGAGTATGAGACTACCAGAGTTCACCCAAGGGAACCCATAGTACAATGGCTTACTTACAGTTACACTGGAAAACTCCTGTCCAGCACGCATGATACCCACTTCACCCCCAATGTCACATAGAGTTCTCCCCATTAATCCTATATAGCTTCTGTACTCTAGTCTCTCCCCGGACCCCTGAAACCACAGGCAAATAGGGCAGATTTGCAGACAAATGGCTGGGAGAGGTGGCTGGAAATGCAGATAAATATTTAGTAGCCACCTCCCTCTATGAAGGAATCTCAACAGTCCATAGACCCAAAAGTGATTGACACTTGGAAGCAGGCACAGGTGATCTGATGATAATAGTGATTGTTAGACACTTGGTGGATAGGACCTTACAACACTAGGACATTCTTAAGCAGCTGGCCTCCTTGATCAAGGACCTGCATAGCCTGTTCATAGGACATGTGTGCCCTGGAGCACACAGAAAATTTTAGTCAACTAAGTCAGGAAAATAACCCTATTGGTTTCCCACTCACAACTAGAGATGGCTGTCTGCTTAAGGAGTATGGGGCAGATGCTATAGGCTCTGCACAATGCCTTCTCAGAGGAAAGGGGTTTGGGATGTCACTGAAATAAATTTAGTCAAGAGACACCACGTGTGTGTGTGGGATAACTTGTGTGGATTTTGAAGTATTTTGAAGTACAGAGTGACACGATTTTGGGTTCTGCTCTGATTGGCTCTTGTCAGTTCTGCATTCTGTTGACAGATTATCCTTCACCATACAGCATCTCACCACTCATTGGAGTGTCGTGCGTCCTTCTCGGAGTCTTCTTGACTTCACCTCCTCATTTTCTTTTCATTTTCTCAGTCATTGTGACGTGTTAGCTCCGTGTCGTTAACCCTAATGGACATCTTGGCTATGCAACCAAACATGGAGAGGAGATTAGTTTGCTATTCTAGAAGGCAAAGGGTCCTATCTATATGGGAATCCAAGCAATCTCTAATGCTGAGGAATGCCCACCTTAGCCCCTACATCTGTGACGAGAGACCGCACATGTGCACAATGTGATGACCTATTTCCCAGCATGCTTTCTAGAGGGACTGTACAGAAAGTTTTATCAAGGCTTCCTAGAGACAGAATAGGAGAAGTCCTATAGAGCTGAAACACAAATTCATACCCCTGGGTTTCCCAAAGTCATCTCCAGCCTTTGAAGATGTTACCCAGGGGCCAGAGAATGCGACTCCCATCAGGAGACTAAACAGCTTCACCTTTAATCCAGGGAATGAATGCTGGTTTACTCTTTGCTGATAAGGCCTACAAACCTATAAATTACACATGTTCTTGTGGTGATTATGTTATAAAAGCCCACCCAGGTCGATGAATGGGAACTTTTAGCTGAAGAAAAACCAAAAAATAGCAGTTATGTCTCAGAGGCTGAATTCCACTCCACGGGTTAAGCGCTGAGAGAGCACCCTCCTTAGAACTGTGGGTACCTGAGGATACCAGAGGGAACAAGAAAGAATAGGATGTCGTTGCACACAGGGATGGATGACCAGGAGGACCTCAAGGTTCTGCTCGTCCTGCCAGACTTGCATGAGTGTTCTGCTCATTTTTACTCTTCGAGGCAGTTAGCTGAAGCACAGTGATGAATAGGAATCAGGCAGACACTAAAGGAGTGTGTACAAAGGGAGTAAACTCGGAAACATTCAGCAGTGTCCATTTAAAGTGTCTGAACCTGGCTACAGTGTTTGGTTTTTCCTCAATGAAGGAATCACTCTCCTTTTGCATATCTGACTGTGTTGTGTTTCCTTACCTTTTTTTTTTTTTAACAAAGAAATGCCTAGAAGGGCTCATTAGAGCCTGATAAATGCGCAGCCACTGGCTTTTGTCTCCCAGCCAAGGGCTCCCTTCTGGGCTGGGTGCTGACTCAGCACTGCACACAGGAATTCTCTCCAAGAGAACAGGCCATGGTCGGCCTCTCATACTTGTGGTCACAGAGCAGCGCTTCATAAATGTCTCCAGCTAACGAAGTGCAGCTGACGCAAGAACGTTTGTGAATGGGATGTTCCGGCTGGGCTTGAGAAGAGATTTCGCATTCGCAAACGCATTCCAGTTATCTTCTGTGGCAAGCCGGGGAGTGGATTCCATTTTGGTAGCATGATATTCTTTCAGTATCGATGGAGGAGGAGGTCAAGGTGTAACTCAGCAATCTGAAGCAAATTAAAACCCAGAAATGCAGAGCGTATGGAAACAGCTGTAAGACCGCTCAATTTTGAGAGTTCTGGCAAGTCCACTATTAAAGGTCATGGGACAGGGGCTGGCTCAATGATTAAGAGCACTGGCCAGTCTTCTAGAGGCCCTGGGTTCAATTGCCAGCTCATGACTGTCTGTTAGTCTAGTGTCAGGGACTCTACTGTCCTCTTCTCCCCCTCTGTGGGGACCAGGCGTCCATGTAGTAAACAAACATACATCCAGGCAGAAGACTATATACATAAAATAAAGAAGGCTTTTAAATATTTCAAAAAAAAATCTCAAAAACATAAAATGGAGAATGACTGAAGAAGACACGTGATGTTAATTTCTGGCCTCAGGATGTACACATGTGGGAATGCTCATGCACATGCACAAACGCAGAGACACACACACAGAGATACACACACAAACACACATACATACACACACACACACATACACACACAGAGACACACAGACACACACACACACACACATACACACACACACACACCATTACTCAAATTAGTAAAGACAGCACTCACATGCGTGACACTGGGCTTCAGTGGGTTTTGTTCTCTCCTCCTTAGCCATGAACTTGAGTCTTAAGAATCTAACAGGATTGTTACAGCTAATGTTGTGTCCCACCGCATAATAGTGGGAAAAATAAATCTCATTTCTGCTGATGACACAGTTTTATTGTCATGAACTAGGAATGACCTCGAATGATCCAACCACAGCCAGGAGGAATAGTTCAAGTTGAATCCTGTTAAATCCAAAGCCATGGTCTTTGTTGGCGACCTCCAAAACCCCAGTCACTGCTCCATGAAGCTGAGAACAAATCAGCTCAGGCATCTGGTGGGAACTCTTCACCCGTGGCTATCCTGATACACAGGAGAGAGACTCTCCAAGGCTTTCCTGGGTCCCCAGCGACAAATGGTAACACTCAGCCTGAAGACATTTTAGATTCAAGTTGTGTGTGATTGGCTCTGTTGCATTAAAGTCTGAGGTCTCCCTAATGACCAGAGCCAAAGATGACTGCTGAAGAGAAATCTCAGATTTTGCCTGCAATGGCTTCCCCCGTGTCCAAGACAGCAGCTTCCAAATGGGCCATGCTCCCCAGCTTCCCAGCAATGGGATGGCAGCTGAGTGCTTTCTGCATTCCTCTGGAGTCCTACATCCTGGGAGGCAAGCTTAGAGCCACTCATGACTGAGTTGCCTTCTCCTCAGTCCCCGGGGCTGAGATGGGGCTGAATGGTTCCCATGTGGCTTCCTTCTTGAGTTCTGTCTCCTCTCCCACTTTGCAGGTCACTGGGTGAGAGGGCAGGCTTTGGTAAGAGCTTCATGGCTGACACTGCTTCTCAAAGGCAAGCAAGCCCAGGCCAGGGAAGAAGGAAGGCAATGGATGGTGTTTCTTGACTTGGACTGAACCTTAGGAACATGCTAGAATATCAGCAGTAGCACACTTAGCCCACAGAGCCCTTGACCTTAGCCAGGGTCTTGTTTACGGCATCACACATCCACACTGTCACCCTGGGCTTTGGTTGAGGTTTATTCCATGAAACGGTCATAAGAGAACAGCTTTCATTTTTTTTTTAGGAAATGTTATTCGAACCCCTTCTTGTTATGTTGCCCAGTGCCCCACAGGGGACATCCACGTATGTTTTTATTTTAATAATTCACTGCCAGAAGACATCCATAACCTGAGGAACTTAAGTACTTCCTACTTCCTGACAACAGAAACCACAACACGGGCTGTGTCTTGCTGTCTCTCCCCTCTCCCTTCTGGAATGCTCAGTTACAAATTCAAAGCTTATCCCAACTACAGTGCCCATGCCAGGGTGCATGCTCTGCACTTCCTTTTTCTGTCTTGTTTCTATCTTATTAAACTTTAGAGACACCAGGCCTGGAACATAGCTTCTCTTCTGCCAGTCTGTGATGTATTTGCCAAAGCCATCAGGAACAGCTTCTTGATTGACTGAATGCTGATAAAGTCTCACACACACACACACACACACACACACACACACACACACACACACAAAACAAAACAGGAGAGAAGAGAATCTCCTATTCGTCCACTTCCTACAGGAAGCTTATTCTCTGCTAAAGCAGAGGAGATGACTCTGCTGTCCTTGAACTTCTGACCCACCCCCTGTCATTCGGTCCCCACACTTCCTCCATCTGTGTTCACAGCATAAGGAAAGTTGTGTGCATTCTCTGGGCTGAGCTCATGCTGGGAAAAGAGTAGGTGTGACTGAGCTGTTTCTGCACCTCCATGTCAGTACCATGGACCTACACTGAGCTGCCCTGCTTCTCGTGTCTCCTACCTGGTGGTTCTCCCCTTGCACTGCCTCCCACTCTGCAGGTCTTTGGGTGGAAGGACAGGTTTACATTAGAGCTTCCTGGCTAGAGCTCTTTGTCAAATCCATTGACCCATATATGCCTACAGCTACAAGACAAGTCTGGAGGCACACCAAGATTCTGTAAGTTGCTAAATTTCCTATTATCTCAAATTGAATAACACTATTAGCCATGTGTATCAAATGATCCAGTTCGCAGCAGATCATGAAATGCTTTGGAGATGACCTATTCCATAGTCCTTCTCAAACAACGGCAAAAAACCAGGACACTGGCTCCTGCCTGAATCTCTACTAACATTCAGTGAAGAGCCACATGAAGGGGAAGAAAACCTGAAACCTACATTCTCACTGAAACACCACATTGCAGGAACGTAATGAGTTTGGCACCTGGGCTCTGTTCACCTCTGCATCCTGAGGGAGCCTTTCAGACAGATGTTAGACTGTCTGGTCGACCCAGCCAGCACTCCTGGGGCTACAGGAGTGGACAGGAAGACTCAGGAGAGTAGAAAGCTGAGTCAGGGACACAACAGTCATTTAAGCACAAGGGTGATGGCTAATCTTGACCTGACTGGCTTTAGAATCAACTAACAAAGGAAGTTGCTAGAGACTCCTGCCAAGGAGTTTCTTGATCAGATTATTTGAAATGAAAAGACCCACCCTAAATGGTTGAGACACCTTCTGGTGGCAGCTGAGATAATGGGACACAGAAGAAGAAAACTTTGCTTTTTGCCTGCTTGCCCTCACTCTTGCTGGCAGGTTCATCTGTTCTGTTGCTGATGCATTCCTTCATCAATATGAGGACCAACATCTTCAAGGTAAATTGAAGACTAACATCTCTCCAGCAATCCTTCAGCTCTTCAGTGCTAGATAGGGGCTGAGGCAAGACATGTGCTGAGGTAAGATCCATGGAGGACATTTTTGGAGCGTGTAAATGGGACTCAGACCGTGATGGAGGCTGAGCTTATCTTGTCTGTAGAGCTAGCTGTGCGATGCTTGTGGGTCTCCCATTTCCACTAATCTTTGCTCCCCTGAGAAAGATACAGCCAAAACTTCTC